CCCATTTCTGAAGAAGAGTCCCGACCCAAAACGTCAGCTTTCCTGCTCCTCTGATGCTGCCTGGCCTGCGGTGTTCCTCCAGCTCCACAATGTGTTATCTCTGACTCCAGCATCGGCAGTTCTTACGATCTCAACATAATCAAAGACCCCTCCCATCCCGGTTATACTCTCTTCCAGCCTCTCGCATTGGGCAGAAGATATAAAAGTTTGCATACACGAACAGATTCAAGAACAGTTTCTTCCCCGCTGTCATCAGACTTTGGAATGGACCTGTTTAATGTTAATGTTGATCTCTCTCTGCACTTTGTCAGCAGCTGTAACGTTGTATCCTGAACTCTGTTCCGTTACCCTGATGCACTTGTATAGTATGGTCTGCCTGTAAAGCATGCAAGACAACATTTTTCATTGTACTACAGTACATGCGACAATAACAAATCAAATCAATCTTAAGAACTGGGCATGCAAAATTGAAGTTTGCTGACAAACCTCGGTGTTGAGCTGGAAGGGTTCACAAAGGAGAACACAAATGTGCTGAGGAGTGGCAGATGGAGTTTAATCTGGATAAGTGTGAGGTTTTACATTTTGGTAAAACAAATAAGGGCAGGACATACACAATTAATGGTAGGGCCCTGGATAGTGTTGTCGAACTTAGACCTAGGAGCTCTGGTACCTAATTCTTTATCATCACAGATAGACAAGATGGTTAAGAAGGTATTCAGCATGCTTGCTTTCCTTGCTCAGACCTTTGAGTATAGGAGTTGGAATGTCATGTTGAATTTGTACAGGACATTGGTGAGGCCTCTTCTGGAGTGCTGTGTGCAGTTCTAGTTGCCCTGCTACAGAAAGGATATTGTTAATGTGAAGAGAATTTGGAAAATATTTAACATGTTGCTGCCAGGAAAGGTTGGTTTGTGTTATAGGGAGAGGCTGGATAAGGTGGGACTTTTTTCACTGGAGTGTAGGAGGTTGAGGATGACCTTAGAGGTTTATAAGGTCATGAGGGACATAGATAAGGTGAATACTAAAGGGCCTTTTCCCTAAGGTGGGGAAAATTCAAAATCAGGGGGCACATTTTTAAGGTGAGAGGAGAAGAAAGTTTTGAAAAGGACATGGGGGGGGCAACTTTTTTTTAAAAAAAACAGTGGTTCGTGCATGGAATGAACTGCCAGAGGAAATGGTGGATATAGACACAATTACAACATTTAAAAGACATTTCGATAAGTTCTGAGTAGGAAAGGTTTGGAGGGATATAGGCCAAATGGAGGCAAGTGAATCTAGTTTAGTTTGGGAATATGGTCGGCGTGGACGAGTTGGACAGAATGGCCTGTTTTCCATGCTGTATGACTATGACTCTGAGAAGGAACATAGTATAAGCATTCTGGGTGGAAAAAATGAATCAAAGCATAAACTGGCAAGCAGAATAGAAAGGTGGAAGTTGTGGGCTAATGTAAAACAAAGAGGAACAATACATTTTGAACTCAGAACAGAAACGTACATACGCCTTAATTGATAAAACTGGAAAATAAACTGGTATGCAGGCCAATCAAAATTGGAAGTAGTAGTTTCATGCCATAAAAGTTAAACTGAATCCTTTAATTTATATCTAGAGGAAAGAAAACACAAACGAAAGTTTGTTTCGTTCATGCTAACTTTGGAACTTATTAACAGCATTGTGGAATCTCCTCGTCCACACAGATTGCAGTAATTCAAGGCAGCTCACCACAACTTTCAACTATTTTGTCTAAAACTCATTGATTTGAAATGTTAACTTTTCTCTCTCTCTCGCTCTCTATCTTGATGTTGCCAAACCTTCTGCATTTTTCAGTAATTTCTGTTTATAACTTCAGACTTCCAGCATCTACAATACATTCTTCTTGATTTTATCAAGGACACTTGGGAGAGTTAACAAATATTGACCTTGTCAGCAACATCCACCTCCCAGGATTCAACACATCAAAACACATAGTTGGAACATTGCTTACAGTTTCACATACCCACAGAAAGGACGGTACATGTTGTGCAAGTTCACAGATATTGCTGGAGGTAGAGGTTGCTCTTCTCCAAAAATATTACAGCTTTTTAATAGAGTCAAGGAAAGGACAAGACATCAACTGAGAGTCTTAAAAGACATGGGAGTTAAGATCAATCAAAATAAATTAATTGTTTTCACTCTTCTACAAAGCAGTGAGAAGAGGTTTAAAAACGTTCAAAAAAAAAGGAAAAGATTAGAAATAAGTCTGCAGATAGTGGTGATTAGAAATTTCAGTTTCTGATCTGAACTGTTGTGGAAAAAGATCCCATTAATTCATTTTAAAACAGAATTAGAGGGTTGCTTCAAAGGAGCAGTATTAACTATACAGAATTACTAGATGCAGCAACTAGATTTGGCTCACGTGGAGGAAACACCCACTCAGTTGGAAAAATCAAATGGTTTCTTTCTGTACTGTGACAGTGCATCTGAAGTAGGATACACTTCAATTTACAAATAGTGTCTTTTTGGGACCAATGGGTAGAGTGTTCTATATCTAAAGAACCATATAAAGGCCCTTTGGCTCTGTACCTCTGCTAGCTCTTTCAAAGGGCTATACAATATAAAACCTTTAATCCTGCAAATTAGAATTTTAAGAAAATGTTCAATTGCCTTTCGATAGTTCCTATGAAATCAGTTTCCATCATTCCAGATCTCAATCCTCTTGAAATAAAATGCTCACTGTTTTCACACAGCCACAAAAAGGACACGTACATGTTGCGCAAGTTCACAAATATAACTAGAGGTGAGACTGCACTTCTCCAAAAGTGTTAGAACTTTCCAATCAAGTCAAGGACAGGACAATACATGAACTAAAAGTCTCAAAGGTTTGGGAGTTAAGATCAATCAAGATAAATTGTTTACACTCATCTACAAAGCAGTAACAAGAAGGAAAAATAAAAAAAGGAAATGAAGATTAGAAACAAGTGCCCAAATAATAGATGTTTAATCTTATTTTAAATCTGATCTCTTATTACTGACCCACTCACCTTGGGTACAGTTTCTCCCTAGTCACCCAATCAAACCCTCACTTTTAACTGCAACTATTTAAAAAAAGGTAACAACTTCTCCACTCAAGTCCTTCATCCCTGGTATCCTCAAACCTAACCTGTACCCTCTCCAAAACCTTGACAACTCTCCTTAACTGTGGTTTTCCAAAACTGTATAAAATACTCCAGTGGAGACCAGTTGATTAATGCTTCATGACTTCCTTTTTTGGCATTCAATGCTCTACGTTACAATGTCAAATATCACACATTCTTCCTTTACCACTTACAGAACTCACTCATCTTCGTGCACCCTCAGTACGGTCTCTGTTTCGTCCGAAGTACTCCACACTTATCCACATAAAGCATCAGTGTCTAAATATCTGCGCCCACTTGCTCGTGACTTAAATATAACCACGTTTTTAACACTCAACAAGTTGGAAACTGCATTCCTTAAACTCAAATTATTAGATTACAAAGATAGCAATTATTCTAATATTAAGGTGAGGCACTGCATACTTGCCTCCATTTACCACTAACAAAAACAGAAGTTGCTGGAAAAGCTCAGCAGGTCTGGCAGGTCAGAACTGTTGTGAGGAAGGGACATCGGACCCGAAACGTTAACTGATTTTTTCTTAACAGATGCTGCCAGACCTGCTCAGCTTTTCCAGCAACTTCTATTTTTGTTCCCGATTTACAGCATCGGCAGTTCCTTCGGTTTCCATTTAGCACTAATCTCTGCCCAAAACCCCTGAGCAAATCAGACACCCAAATTACATCCGTCACTTTAGCACCATATTCCTATTAGGTAGTACCCACAATGTCTTTTGAAAGTCCAAGTTATGCACTACACCTATTGCACTAAAAATCATTTACCTTCTGGTACCTTAAAGAACAGAATCAGACAAAATTAGTCTTTTAAAAATTCACACTGGCTGTTTCTTACTAAACTAAAAATCCAAGCTAGCAACAACCTGCAAGTGACATCTGCCCAATTCTACATTCACCCCAAAAAGTCTGACATCAAGTTGCATTGATAGTTCACCACTTTCAGATAACATGGGAACCGTGGAGATTTATGAAGTCACCAGGGAAAGAATGAACATGGAATGAAATTACTGAACAGTAAGCTGGTGGCTGGGGCAGCTGCACTTCAGTAAGTGGTTTGGATAAATTCTAGGGTTGAGATGCCCCAACTGGGCTGCAGTTCACCAGCCAGATAACAGCTGTAGGAACCCCCAGGCACAATACACCACTTCACAAGGGTTCTGAGGCAGGAGCCTGTCGATCAGCTCCCTCCATTCTCACTACCCACCCCAAAAACATCAGTTTAACCACCCCACTTGCAAACCAACCAAACATTGTTACCACACCCTCCCTTCCCCAACCACCCCCCCCCCCCCCCCACCCCCCCACTTCCATTGCAGCCTGGCCTCCATACACATACTCCCAGGTCTGGTCTGGTCTGGTCTGATCTGATCTTCTAACTGCACATACCCCAAATATTTGAGCCTACCCAAATTCCCCTTTTCATCCCTATCCTAACTCCTCCCTCAGCCTAATATCCTCTCTCCTTCCCAGCCCAGCCTGATGCAAATTACCTACCCCAGCCCGACCCCACCGTCTCCCTCACCCCGAGCCTGACACCTCCCCCCTACTTTTCCCCTCTCCCACTCCCACGGCCTGAGCACCACCACCTCCAACCTCCTCCACCTCGAACCTCCACGGTCTCCCTCAGCTTCACTCACCTGCCCAGCGGCCGTACTCTCGCAGCCTGATTCCTGTTCCAAACACGAAGACCTGCGCCCCACTCAGCAGCCTATAGATGGCCTTCAGTGACAGCCAGGTCACGGTGGCCACACCGAGCCAGTAAAAGACCTGAGCAGCTGGCAGCGATCCGAGCGACACCGGCGAAACCATCATCTCAAAGAGCAGTTCCTGACACCAGCCGGAAACACGCGCCCAACTTCCGGCATGCTCCCATTGGCTAATTTACTCCACGCATCCTATTGGTTGGAAGGCGAATCGATCCGCCCATGATATCGCGTTTACACCGCCTCCGCCGATGCATCCTGGGATTTGCCGTTTCCCCCACGTTTGTCACCGTGACCACGCGGCTCCTTGAAACTACAAGTCCCACAATCCCAGGAAAACAGCAACAGACACTCCTCCAACAATCCTCTCGCGAAACTTCACTAGCCCAGAAACGCGGAAGTGATAGTTTTAATCACAACATGTGCTACATTTACTAAAAATATCTAAAATATACACAAAAGAATTGGGCCAAAAATGTGGGGTCATGTCAGAAATTATTTTTTGTCAACAATTTTCGTTTCACAATAAATGTCATTTTGTCCAACAATCTGTCCTTCGTATTCAAGCAAACACCCTTTAAAAACATTGCATTGCAACAGTAATTTTAGACAGTTTTAATAATATTATTTAATTAGAAAGTTTATTGTTGGATTTATGATGTACATTTTATCGTCTGGAAAGTGTAGAGTATAATTTTAAACTAATATTTACAACTATCTGTTACTACAAGTATTTTAAAAAGTTTCACTCTAAATTTAAAATGTAATCTTTTACAACAAACAATACACTGCTCTTACTACATTCTACCTAAAACAAAAGAAAAGTAATGTGTGAAATATGTTATTTTTTAATGGTAAAACGCCTGTCTGCTTTTTGTAATACGGGCACTTGTTGAGACATAAATAATGTGCTCTAAAACAGTAAATTATTATTTATAATATACCTTGAAGCCTATTTTCTGATATCATTTGTTATATCTTATATTCTAGTGCATTTCACGGTATTGCAAAACATTACAGAAAATATATCTCCATTTTTGCATTTCATCATCTTTCTAATTCAACAGAAACTCAAATAGTTCGTTTGCAATTTTATTTGTTTCTATGTAAATTATATTTCTTTCACTAAGTATTAGAATAACAGAACTGCCACAAACAATGCTGTGAAACGATCAAAATAGAAACCAAATGCTGCCTGAGCTTTTTTACTTTCATTAGTTTTGAGCTACCCAGTTTTTGTTTACATTATATTTAACAAATGAAGATTAAAGTAACAAAGAAATGTACATTTAATTGATCAAGATTATCCTGCTTTATACAAATTTGCCCAACTTTTAATATCTATGCACTTTGAGAACAACTAATACACAGCATTTAATCAAATGCAGGATGAGCGGCATACCATCTATTTTTCACTAACATTATCAAAAGAGTAATATTGGCAAGAATTTATCAAATATAGATATTTTATACAATTAAAAAAATAACAAATTGAGCACTTTTCTTAATTTCCAATTAATATAGTGCAATGCTGTATGTGTACAGTAAACTGATTCTGTATATTTGATTAACTTATTAACGAAAATGTTTATAGATTTGATTTTTGACAAGAATATTGTTCATATTCTTTTGAATGAAAATAGACTCAAAGACATATTCTGCCCTTTTTAAATATTTTAAACAATGTGGAATGTAACATTCACAACAGTATCAAATTTTACTGCATCTGTTATGGTTCTGTATTGTTTATCAAAACCTGCATGTGTAAAATTCGCAGTAATAATTTAAGGTAACTATTGCCAAACAGTCCAATTACATTTGTTTATTTTTAAAATAAAATATTTCAACATGTTTCTGTTAACCACAAATACATAAAAATATATTCCAGTTTTAGGAAAATACCTGCCAAAATTTACCTCAGACATTGTCGTATACGTACTCTCTTTTATATCAAATGTCTAGTTTGTTTTTCAATCTGTCTCTTTCCATTTTCTCCAAATAACATAACACAATCTAACAAAAACAGAAATAACTGTTTCTGATATCTCATGGTGGATCACACAAGAAATATAAATGAAAAATGTAGCTAATTATTGCTTCATACCTCAACTTCATTAATAAATATTGTATTTATTCTCTTCTAGTATTCTATTTGCAATTGAAAGTAATAAATGCAGATTTCCATTTTTTGAATACAGGCAGTTGAGTATACCTCAAAACCCATAATTTACCTGCATTTTCTAAATTCTCGTACTTTCTTTTACTGTGAGGCCTTTTTTGTTAAACATTTACAATCACCAGATTTGCAAAATTACGCAGTTCATTTACCGTTTGATCACAGCAAATATTTTAGCATTATTCAAATAGTTGTAACTCCCACTATTGTTTTACAAACCCAATAAACCATTAGGTTTAAACATATTTTAACCTTAAGCTACAGTAGAATAAATAATCAAATTCTCATTTAAAGCTGATAGCTTTTTACTGTCACTATTTCAGTATTTAGAACCAAATATATTTATCTACAGTTTGAGTTAAATGCTCAGCTCAAATAGAATCAATTGTCTACAGAATCTTTTGCTTTAATCTGCAATGTTACTTAAATTCTAATTTAACATTGTAATCCTTGTTCAATAAAAGAGAAACGTCTTTCTATTAGAGGACACATACTGTTTTCATTTATGAATGTGTATTTTTTAGAGTATGAAATCTAGCCAGGAGTAGGAAAAAGCTATCCACATGTACAAAGGAAAATAAACAGCTGAAATTGGTTTTTAAAAATCTGAGCTGTTTATATAAAGAGAGAGGTAAAAGAAAGTGCATTTTTTCTGTTGCTGCTAAATAGAAAATAATTTCACTTTAACATAATACTTATGTAGTGGGTCAAAATTCATATCTCATTTTAGGAAGTAGACATTATTATGTTACACATAAATTACACGCTTACAAATTATATCATGTATGGGTTTTTTATACTGTATATAAGACCAAGATTAAAGTATCTTTATTACTGGAGATGAATATTGGGTATTAAATTTGCTAATAAATGAAGAGGATATCCAAACATTTGACAGATTCCTATGAAGTCGTAATTGTTTGCTTTTATCAGTTAATAAAGAGGACAAACAAATACTGATCATTTGTTTAGCCAAATAATTGATTAAAATAGTTTACAAAAAAATGCTTTTAATGTGTAAGTCAAACTCTGTTTTCCTATCTTAGAGCTAAGTATGATATGTGATATTTTCATCCCATCTTTTGAAATCTTTCATATGTTTGTTATTTTTTAAAAATCTATATTTTGAGAAAAAATAATGCAAAAGGGTAAGATAGATTAAGTGCATGGCTCACGTGGATTACAAGCCATTTTAACAATATCTGTTCTTAAATTAATTTTTAAGATGGTTGGTAGTACCAGGCTCAAATCTCTTTGTTTATAAAGACGTTCATGATAATTTGCATACTTATAAAACTCAAAGGGCAAAGAAAGGAGGAAATTTCTATATTTTCTTTTCCAATTTTATCCTAACTTCTCATCTAGTCTCTTTAAATGGTCTTTTTTAAAAGTATCATTTGTTGGATATTACCAGCCTTTCAGAACCCCTTCAAAGGGTCATTCTCCATACATGATTCAAGACAGTGAACATCAGGAGATCATTTGACCATGAGAAGGGACATTACAGGTATATCCTGTATTAAACTTTGTCATTGTAAACTTACAATATTATTTTGGGGGGTCCATGGACAATGATCAACAGCAGGGCCCTCATTTGAATATTCACATCCCTACTTCAAGGATACTAGAGACAATCTGAGCTTTAAGTCTTTTGTAAGGTCAGCTAACTCAGAAATGGACACAAATATATAGGTGGGATCTTCCTGATCTGCATAGTTTATTAACAAGCTATATGATGTTGTTGCCGTCTCATCAATTACAAAGGTTAGCAATATCATGTTTAAGATTAATTACTGATTAAACATTATTTTAAATACAATAATTTACACAGTAACACTGCAATATATACATTGCAACACTTATAATACACATCTGTCCTATTGTCACCTGTCTACAGGTATTTTAAATGATTCTTTTTGCAATGTTAGAATATTTAATTAGATTTGAGGAGTTCCTGTTACATTTATTGAAGCTGACACTTTGTTTATGCATTAATTTTAAAGTAACTTTATCTAAAGAGTAATTTGTACAGAATTGACCTTCACGGTGTGGTTAACACCAAAAAAAAAGTCATATTCATAGATATGTAATGTGGTTTGTTGAAACAAATAAATGCAAAAATCAAGTTGAAGGTGTGCAGCTTATTTCTTGATTCTTTATATCATTCAGTTAAGTATTATCATGACATTGTGTGGGATATTAAGGTATTTTGCATCATATGTTTACTTTTGCAATATTTATTTTTCAAGAAATATGAGAATACTTCATCTGATGTCATTGTCAGCCAAAAATGTTAATTATACAATGGGTATTGAAGAAAAGAATGTAGTTTAATGATGGCAAAAGGTTAAGATAAATAATGTAGGATTGGCATTCACTGAAAATTTATCAAAAGAGATTTAGAAAGGAAATTATGTCATGTTGTGTTAAAAAGTGCATGTTGTGCTCAGAAATGTTAGATTTATGAATCAAAACCATCTTAAGCAGCACCAAACAAAGATAAACAAGTCAATAGATGGATGGATAGATAGATAGACAGACAGACAGATTCAAGTTATTTTCTTCTTTCAATTAGCATGATATTTGATCGTGGCTGACTTTTTTTAATTCCAAGCAATTTTCTGGCCACATGGTTAGAAATTATTGTCTTAGAACCAGGATCATATAAAATGTAATATACTGTCCAGTAGTCTTTCCTGACCCTGGTTTGTATTGTGACCAAAAAGTAACATTGCTGAATTAATCATTTAACAAATTAGTTTATTTATTCCAGAAGAGAGCACAGCCTTTATTGTCAGCAGAATATAAGTTGTATCATTTTTGATATACTCTGGATGCTCTCTAAATATCCTAACCCTGAAAGAATGTGATTGCAATTTACCAGATTGTGATGTAAACAAAAAGTACTTCTCAAAAAACAATATCTACAATTTGTATATTTTTACAGCTGGACGGCAAGTATCTTTACTCTCTCAAACATGATGTTCA